ATTTATAAATGTATAAATCATTTGGTGAAAAACCGACTTTGAAAAATAAATATGTTCTTTTTTTCTTATAAAAGTCTAAATAAAACAAAAATATTGGTGTTAATTTTTGGCTGTGTAACTTTACAAATTGTACCCCATACTGCTGTGCCTGATCTCGACTGCTTGTGTTCTGTAGCCTTTCCTCTCTTTTCCTTTTAGATCTGCAAAGGAACAGCTGAGGACGACCAGAACCTGTSCTGTTCAGACACAAAAAGCATCAGTTAAGAGGTCTAGACGTTGTGGACTGAGTCTGTTGACATGAAAAAGCCAGAGGACAGGAGGGATGGATCACAAGCAGCAGGCTGRTGGGTGAAGGTCTCCACCTGGCAGGTCAAGGCCTGTTTTTTGTTTTTCCTGCTGAGCTCACCTTCTCAGCTGTTTTTATCTTTGCTTTTGACAGGAAACACACCACGTCACTGCTAATCCATCACTTAGGCGCTCAGGCTGTGTTTGAATAAAATTAATTTTAAAAAAAGATAGATTTGAGAGGTTAGATAAGAAGCATTTATCCTCTTACGCTCACAGACTTGAGAGGTTTCTGCTGTTAGCCCACATAATGATTACTGACATAATTACAAGACRTTATTCTCAACGGAAGGAAACACAACCCTGTTTAACAGCTTGTAAAAAGTGGAGGAAAAAAAGCTCTGAAAGGTGTTTCATATACTAATGACGCGCGTGCACGTGATATCTTTTCAGAGAGAGAGAGAGAGAGAGAGAGAGAGAGAGAGAGAGAGAGAGAGAGAGAGAGGTTGTGCCATAAAAGGAGCGGTGACGCGCCATCCTCTTTGCGCGCCTTGTAAATCTGTGTGTGTGTGTGTGTTGGGGTAAAGTTTTGTGCAGAGTGGGGGGGGGCGCGGCAGTTCAGTCTCCTATCGGAGCCTCTGGGGCAGACCTGGTGGTCGGAGGGGTGTCAGGACGGCAGGAGTCTCTGGGTGCTGGGTTGCGCTGCAGAAGCGCGCGCATGCGGCCAGTTTGCGCTCTCCAAACCGGGGTAAACTTCACTCACCTGCACACGGGGACCCCCGTTTTTACTGTAATTTCTTGAGGAATGCTGCGCAGCTCTCTGGCCGTGAGGATGGAGCGTGGATGGGACTGCGCCTCCTCTGCTGGGCTGTTTCTGCTGGGGGTGCTCTCTGCGCTCTGGCTGGCGCCAAACGGGGTTTGGAGTTTTAACCTTTACGCAGAGCATCCTACGGTTTACAGGGGACCCGGAGGCAGTTATTTCGGTTATTCTGTGGACTTCTATCAAGCGTCCACCGACAGAAACACGTGAGTGGAACCATCAGGGCTGGATCACTTATTTAATCTGCCAAAATGTATTTTTCTAATTGTTTATAAAAGTAAATAATATGTGATCCGTGTAGTGGAGCAAAAATAATTAATTTGCTTATTATCTTTTGTCTGTTTCCTTTCATCCACTAGAATCAGTGTGCTGGTGGGGGCCCCTAAAGCCAACACCTCCCAGCCAGGCATAGTGGAGGCTGGAGCTGTCTATTACTGCCCCTGGCCCGGACTGCCTGATAGCTGCAGACCGATTCCTTTTGACAACTCCAGTGAGTTACCTGAAACTTTTTAAAACTTTTTTTTTAATCTGATGGATCTAAAAGGATTATGTGATGCACACTTCCTGCCAACTAACACAGCCTCACTGTGAGAGTAACTGTTTTAAGATGAGACAAGTGCTGTGACGTCACTGCTGGCGTTGTTCGGTGGCTTTTCAGATACAGGAGTTATCTCTAGATGATGTCACTCAGTTTGAAAATMATCACAGTTTTGCTGCCATGCCTTCATGAACTGTGAAGTAAAAATAAAAAAAGAGATCCATGTGGCTCTCATCAGTTTTGTCTAACAAAAAGCGAGCGGCTGGCAGGTTTTCTGGCTGACCTCATGTTGAATCTGCTATTCAATATGTTATCATCAGCGCCCAATCAGCCATTGCTTGTTCATCTCTGATGCTGAGAAGTGCATGAGGGGGAGAGAGGGAGAGAGAGAGAGCAAAAAAAGGGAGGGGGGGTGGTAAACTGTCTGCACATGGGAATTTAGTTTCTCTGTTGGAGGAACAGGGGACTGGGTGAGGTCTGTTTTTTATTAGATCTTGAGATCATACGCCGGTCTCCTTTTCCCCTGCTCTTGTCCCGCTCAGATTCTCCATCAGTCTGTCCCCRTCTTCCTCTCTTCATGAAGCCTTGATTCTTTTTTTATGGCAACCACAAGGAAGAAGAAGAAAAGAGTAGAAGTGACTGCACATTTAGTTTTTGATGTTGGACAAATTCACAGGAAGTTGCTCATGTGTGTTTGCATGAGAAGATGGTGCAGGCGTGTCAAACTCATTTTCACCCATGGTGGCCCTCAAAGGGCCARTTGTAATGAACTTTGATGTTTCRTGTTTAACTTTGACTAWACAGTGTTTTAACACRTCCTCTTTTAAACATTGATAAGAACTAAGTGTACGACTGACTAAATCTGAAATAAATACAGAAATATTATTAAAAGTAAAAYTAATAAAGTTTACTCACTGATGAGTTTCTAGTGAGTAGCTGCATTAAAACAGATTTAGTTTATGGTGGATAATGACTTTAAAGCAGCTTATTTTCAGACATTAATTCTGAGCTATCCAACTAAACAGCTCAGTTACTTAAACGGATCCCTGATTAGTTGTAACATTAGACTTTATTTGATAAACATTTATTTTAACTGTAAAATAAAAACTGTAAAAGTACTGTAGGATGTTTAGTTTTGTAAATTTTTAAAAATATGTTTTAACACGGACGGCGCCATTTTATTTACACACAAAGCATTCTGGGTAAATGATGACGTGGATAGGTCCTCGGTGCGAGGCTGCTAGCGAGCTATATCC